TGTTGCTTCCCATATGCTTCAAATAGGACCAAGTTGTGATAACAGCCACGGGCTAACGAAAAATTCCGGTAAGCTAATGTTCTTACCCATAAACGCCTAAGAATAGTGCATTACAAATATGGTTTTGGTTTTGTCTGAAATCAGTTGCACGTTGCTAAAAGAGAGATTGAAAACTGACCAAAATTACACTGAAAATCAGCCTGTGGGGACCCCTGAGGGGCTGACATCCAGAACTCGGCTAAAAAATGGTCGTTGAACCTGAAACTTTGGCATACGTTGTGTACTAATTTTCAGTGAAATCGGCCGATCTTCATTTCCAAGTCTGCCCCGGTCTCTCAGGCAGAAGCTCTTAAGAATATTTCTGGAGAAACGTATAGCTTTCTCCAAGCCACGTTGTCTTCGTAGAAAAACGTACGAGGACAAATATGATATCCGTGATAATCAACCTCCTGTTCTTGCAAACAGTTCTATAATCACAGCCGGGTCTGGTGTCACAATATAGAATGCAAGTAAACAACACTTTCATGGTAAATTTCGTATTTTGTCCCGCGAAGGGAAATACTTGGAGACTAAAAAACATATCTTGCTGTAGAAATGAGCCTAAAAAATGCATAAATACATGGCAAATTACAAAGGTGTCATCGACGAAGCGACATGCAGATAACTGCAGAAATCATGCACACCTATGACCTCTAAGAATTTTGCCATGACACAGTCTTACGGCTCAACTCTAATAAAATTCCTCTATATAAAACAGCATGAATTACCCTTCATAAACACGAGTGGAGCAACAAAAAGGTCGAGTGACCAAACAGAGAAGGGCAAATGTAGAAATGTCACGAACAATAGAAGTCGTGTAGGCTAGTCAACCCCATTTTACACTGAAATACTGCAAATTATACATTTAATATGTATACAGTTAAATATTTCAGTTAAGGTTGCCAGATGAAATTGTTAGATAAAAAAAAACCTATGCGAGAAGAACACTAATGATAGGCTATGTATTCATTAAGTTTGGCTTATCATGTGAAAAAAAATCGATTTTACATCGACTAGTTTGTAGTTTTGTGTGTGAAGTAGAAGCCTACACAATAAGACCACTAATGGTAGGCTTTGTATTCATTAAATTTGGCTTATCATTTAAGAAAAAAATGATTATACATCTAACAGCTTGTTTTTTTGTGTGAATTAAGTAAAAGTTTTGCACTTTCATGAGATGTATTTAATTAATAATAAAATAAAATTCTTAAAAGTAAAATGAAAGCCTTCCTCTTAAATCAATTTTCAATGTCATAAATTTTATATGTAAATAGTTTTTCAATGATTGTTTATCAATAATCTTTGAGTATTTTTTTAATTACCTTTATTGTTATTATTGTTTCTGAAAAGCCCTCATGGGGAGTTGACAATAAAATTTGTATTGTATTGTAAAATAATTAATAATAAAATAATAATAGAAGACAATTAGGATCAATTTTAGGGTTAGGGTAAGTTTTTAGCATGACTGATTAGAATGAATTGATGAAGGCGAATGAATGTCAATCGCAATAGAGCTTGCAGTATACAATAGGATAGAGTTCAGACTCCCTCTCCCCCCCACCTCTGTCAGGAGACAAGTGGCCTCTTACCTAACCCCCACCTCCGTTAGGAAATTCATGGCCTCTTAAGTAGCCCCCCACCTCCCTCAGGAGACCCATGGCCTCTTAAGTAGTCCCCCACCCCCTCAGGAGACCCATGGCCTCTTAAGTAGCCCCCCACCTCCCTCAGGAGACCCATGGCCTCTTACATAGCCCACCCTCCAAAAAGTG